TTATTAAATATAATATAAATTCCTAAGGGTTTTTTTTATAAGCAAACAATTTAAGAATCAGAAATCGCAATATTGCATTAATATTAGTGTGACGCTGAGAGCTTGCTTAGAGTTGTTGTACAAACATTATCCGAGTCTTAGCTAAACAGTTCTCCCTCTTTTGCTGGCGTGTATCCGCTAATTCTCACTCGGAGAGTGGGAGAGAGAGAGAGACAGAAATAGTTGTTGCTAAGCGTAGTACAATTGGTTGAGTAAGAGTGAGATGACTACTTAGGTCCTTTGCACAGGCTTGATATGATTTAGACAGACGTTGATAAAGCGACTAAAAAAAGGCACAGAATGCGGTTTCTCCAGAACATGTATTTGCCAACTTTGCTTAACAAGCCAAACACCCTATATGCTCAAAAGAAAACTCTTTAACAGAGCTTAAAATTTGAATTAAAGTATCTTGAAGTCAAGTTATTTCGACCTGGACATCCTCTTTCAATGTATGTCTGACATGATCCTCACTAGAACAAAGAGGCAGTTCAATTTGGTATCCTCGCGCCTCAACAGGCAGCAGCAGCAGTTGACAATCTGACACCTGGAATTGCAATTGCAAGTTTAATTAATCGAAATATCCGGCAGAGAGATGAGACACACAAAATACTTCAAAAACCCTTTCTCACACACACACACGCGCGCATTAAAACAAGCAAGACCCAAAAATCGTTTTATAAATTGTGTGTCGAGTTGCAGATACGAATTGCCAAACACAACAATGCAACTGCAACTGGGCAGGAAATTAGAAACATGGCCACTTGATGGCCATGTTCGAAAAAAGACAGCAGCAGTTGCAGCAGCAGTTGCAGTTGCAGCAGCTGCAGCCGTTGCTATGTAAACTGAATCAAGGCAATGGCTTGCATTTCCTGGACTAGTTCCTCGGTGCCTGGCCTGAATCGCTGTGGGTGTGCGTGCCATATGTGGCCGAATCGATGTTAAATGAAATCTATGCGCATGCAGACTGTTTGGATTTGGCAAACACGTTTGACTGCCGTTTCCGCTTATGATTTGCTTTCGGCCAGCTATTGCTGCCAGTTGAAACAGTTGCAACAGTTGATGGATGCGTTACTAGCTGTGTGGGGTTGTGCTGCCACCTTGTAACCCGGCAACATATCAAAGCTGGGCTACACAATAAAATATATACGAAACTCAATTACCAGGCCAGGCCCAGAGCGAGAGTCGTAGTCAAACAGTTCGACAATGGGGCGCCAGGCCTAGCAGCAGGGCGTCCCAGACACAAGGAGAAAAAAATAATTTTGCTGCTGCTGCAGCTGACAACGATTGAAGACGCAGTCGCTCCGCATGCTGTCCCACCTATGGCCACAATTCCAGACTTTAGCACTTGGAGAGCTCTGCCAAAATTCAATATGTTTATGCCAAGAGTTCAAAGACTTTCGCGCGCGCTTTGTTTGTCTTTTGATGGGGTGCAAATTGAAATTGAATTTGGCTCCGTTCACAGTGTATAGTACATAAAAGACCTGACCCCAACTCCTGCCTTTCGCCTACCACTCGACTCTTCACACAAAACTGTGTGGCATAAAAGAAGGAGAAAGAATATTTACAGGAAGCGCGCCTGAAATATTTTTGCCACATAAATCATAACAATGGCCATATGTAAAAGTGCCTGTTTGTTGCCTGCAACATGCGAGTGCAGCGCATGTTGCAAATGCCACAACAAACAAAAAACAACAATCAAAATCTAACGCCAAATAAATCTACGCAGGGCACAGACGTTTTTTATTTATATTGTGATACTCAAACTGTTTTTCGAGTGCTGCAAAACTTTATGCCAAAGTTTGTGAAATCGAACTCTTGGAAATAAAAAATACTATTGTAACATTAAATTTTTAAGTATATAATCTTTAAGACGAAAACACGATATTTTAATAAATTAATAAAAACAATATATGTATTTATATTAAATCATTGTTTCATGTGATATTTAAAATATATATATATATAATATAAATATAAATATATTAAAAAATCTAAAAACTTTTATTTTTAAAATTATTTATATAGTTGAATGGGTCCATAAATAATTACATTTATTTTCTTATATATGCACAAAATAAAAAATATAAATGCTTCAATTTATTTACAAGTTTAATGAATAATTTAATGTTTTTAAAGCAATTAAAGTAAAGCACTTTATAAACACTTAATTACTGTAATAAATTATTATAAAATAATTTTTAAAAAATTTAATTACTTTTATTTAAAAATAAATAGTAATAAAATAAAATAAGCAAATGTTCATATATAACAAAAATTCATGTTAAAACAAATTAAGAATTCAAGATAAATTTATGTAAACTAAATAATTTTCTAAACAAGCGTATGAAAAATTAAACATTGTACCTGAGCCAAGGCAACTATAAAGTAATAACAATTACTTATATTTATGATAATATGGGATATAACATAAATAAATAAAAAATATATTTTATTACAATTTATATAAATGAAATAAAAAATTTAAAATATATGATCTACGAATTCTTAAAATGTTTAAATAAGATTAAAATAATTATTAAACAAATTATTAAAATATATATTGATTTTAGTATTTCAAACTTAATTAATATTAGGGCAATAATAAAAATTTGAAAATCAAAATATGAAAATACTTCTATTTAAAAATATTTTATGTATATTTATGGTGTAAGAATTACAAACAAAAGAATTAAAAAATCATATCTAACATTTGGCCTTTGTTGATCATCAGAAGAAAAGAAAATGTTTAACAATTTCTACTGGAAACTCGATAAATTTTCAATTGCTTAACTTTTCATACAAATATTTATGTTAGCTTTCAATTTAACCTCTTTTATATTTTGGACTAACTAGAGTTATATAGTTATAAGTTTACTGCAAAACAATTTTTTATTTTTCTTAACTTTTTTGTTGATACTTTCTTACTTTGATACTTTCTTTTACTTTTTTGTTGATACTTCAACATAATTAGAGTATTAGAGTTTCGTTCAGTTAGTTCAATTATTTTGAATCCCTTTTTTATTGTTATCCATTTTTTGCTATGTTTTTGTTGGCCCTGTTGCCTTTCTCTTTTTGACCATAAATTGTCAATTTTTGAAATGTTTTCTCGTGGCAGAACGAGAGCAATTTTATGGCCATTTTGGAGCTGATTTAATGCGCTAAGCGAGCTGGATTAGCCAGGGTCGTAAATATGCCATTAAGCAGGGCGGATGGGCGTATACGCAATCCGTGAGCGACACTTGAGGCAGCCTTTTTCATAATTAAGTGTCGCCTTGTTGCATTTTGTGTGAGCTGTAAGCATCATTAAGACACGTGGCCGGATCATCATCTTCTTCTTAACAGCCACTTGAACATCACACGAATTTGCATGCAATTTGCGCGACAAAATGCGCTCAAGATGATGCCAGTGGCAGCAGCAACTGCAGCAGCAGCAGCAACTGGATAAGCCGCAAAGAAGGCGGGGGCATTGTGGGCCGGGGCAGCTGATGCCCTCTGTTACCCACTTTGGCTTGCGGGCTGTAAGTTTTTCCACACCGCTGGGCGATGTGTAAGCCCCGATGATGAGCACAGCTCGTTAAGATGCTTGTTTCGTCAAGGCAAAACAGCCGCAGCTGAAGCCTCAAGTGCTGTAGCATACGCTTAGGCGCGAGGTCACCAAAAACTGGAACCCGAAACTAACCAACAGACCTAGAGCACACACAGGGCACTCAAAGTACCCAGCACACGAGAAAAACCTAGCATAAATGTCAAAAAGTTAAATAGCAACTGAATAAAAGTCAAGTGCAGAAACTTTGGCTTACTGCAGCACAATTATAGCTCCGTGGAAGGCAATGCGTACTTTGTTTATATAATAATATTATAACATTAAATGTGTTCTTTCTGCATATGTACAACTAAAAGATACCCGGTAATAAACATTTGAAGTAATTTGCTTTCTACTATATTTAAGGTATTTCGGAACTATATTTTTACTATCTAATATATAATTTCTGATATCTATTATCTATTATCTATTATCTATTATCTATTATCTATTATCTATTATCTATTATCTATTATCTATTATCTATTATCTATTATCTATTATCTATTATCTATTATCTATTATCTATTATCTATTATCTATTATCTATTATCTATTATCTATTATCTATTATCTATTATCTATTATCTATTATCTATTATCTATTATCTATTATCTATTATCTATTATCTATTATCTATTATCTATTATCTATTATCTATTATCTATTATCTATTATCTATTATCTATTATCTATTATCTATTATCTATTATCTATTATATTATCTATTATCTATTATCTATTATCTATTATCTATTATATATTATCTATTATCTATTATCTATTATCTATTATCTATTACATGAGTAAAATCTATAGCCACTTTTTGTCACATATACAGGGTATTATGAAGCATCCTACAACAAGTGGTGAACAATGGAAACTATCACAATAGACATGTGCAGAAGTGCGTTTCCTTCACTGGGAAATATTCTGCTAGCCTGAGGCTAGCCAAACCCACGCATGAACCATGTCAAACAGACAACAAATGTCAAGTGAAATAATAGTCAAGGGGCTTTCCATTTCTGTTATTCACATATATAGATATAAGTATATACTTTCGAGTTTCCTGACTGTAGAGGAATTTTAAAAAATTAAAGCGCTTCAATTACAAGTACTCAGAAAAGTCACTGTATATTTTCACATCTTTTTTATTTTTTATATATTTTTTTTAGTTATTAATTATTAGATTTATTATTAATTTTTTATATATTCATACTTTCTATATACATTATAAAAAGTAAATATATTTTTTCTTTTAAATTTTAATTGTTAAGCCCTTTACTTCACATTGAATTACATTCATAATTTTGTAATACCGTTTAAGTTATATAAAGTTTAACTAGAATGTAAATGTTGTGAATGTTGTTAATGTTGTTAATGTTGTGAGTGTTAAGTCATCAAATCGAAATGGCGAAAATGTTGAGCTAGTTGAGTGCGCGATTTCAGTGTCGGTAAATGGTTTATGAAGCCCATTTAGTTCTGCAGTCCAGTAATTAAAGTTAGTTAAGAATTATTAATCATTAACAAGCCGCCCTTTGTTGGCCTGCCAATAGAATATCGAGCGCGTGTCAAATTTCATTCCAAAATTATATGTACGTATGTGAGTGAAAGTGTGGGGGGGCGAGTGAGTGAGTGAGTGAGTGAGTGAGAGAGTGTGGGGGTGAGTTAGTGTGTGCGTGCGTGTGTGCGTGTGTGTGTGTGAGTGAAGTGCTGTAGGTGACCGGAAAGCGACTGAAGTAAACGAGATGCCAAGATTAATTTAAAAAGGAGCCACGAACAGCCAACGTTGCCTGTGTTTTTCTGCCAATTAGTAGTGTGTAGTTCATGTTCTTCTTTGAGTCCGAGCAAACCGTTTTCAATGAAGCATTTCTCTAAATGCCCAGGCCTCCCATGCCGCCGCCCATGCCACCCATGCCGCCGCCCATGCCACCCATGCCGCCCATACCAGCCATGGGATTGGCGTCCTCCAGAGGAAGCTCGGTGACAACGGCCTCGGCTGTGGTCAGCAGCGAGGCAACGCCGGCTGCATCGATGATAGCTGTGCGCACCACCTTGGTGGGATCGATGATGCCACGTTCGATCATGTTGCCATATTCGCCCTTAAGAGCATCGTAGCCATAATCTCCATCCAGAATCTCCACCTTAGCCACCACCATGGCGCCATCCACGCCTGCATTTTTGGCAATCGTTAGGCAGGGCATACGCAGGGCACGTCGAATTATCTCGATGCCCAAGTTCTGGTCCTCATTGGCGCCCTTAAGATCCATGAGCTTGGTGATGCAGCGCAGCAGCGCAGTGCCACCACCGGGCACAATGCCCTCCTCGATGGCAGCACGCGTGGCATTGAGGGCATCATTGACGCGGTCCTTTTTCTCGCCCACCTCCACATCACTGGAGCCGCCCACGCGGAGCAGAGCAACGCCCGACGATAGCTTGGCCAGACGCTCCTGCATCTTCTCCTTCTCGTAGGTGGAGGTGCTCTCCTTGATGGCTTCGCGTAAGTTCTCCACCCGCTTGTCGACCATCGGACGCTGGCCATGGCCCTTAAGCAGCATGGTATCCTCTTTGGTGACTACAATCTCGCCAACACGCCCGAAATCGCTGATCTTGATGTCCTCCAGTCGCACCATGTTGGCCTCGTCCCCGAACACCAGGCCACCTGTGGCAATTGCCATGTCGGCGAGCGTCTCCTTGCGATTATCGCCAAAGCCGGGCGCCTTAACCGCGCACACCTGGAGCCCAACCTTGAGGCGATTCACGACCATCGTGCTCAAGGCCTCACCCTCCACATCCTCGGCGATGATGACCAGCGGCTTGCGTTGCGAATTTGCCAGCTCCAAGGCGGGCACAATGCTCGTGGCTGACTTAATCTTCTTTTCGCAGAAGAGCAAAAGCGCATCCTGGAACTCCACCTTGGCGCCCTTGGAGCTGTTGATAAAGTAGGGCGAGATGTAGCCACGATCGAATTTCATGCCCTCAATGACCTCCAGTTCGTCGTTCATGGTCTTTCCATCCTTGACGGTGATGACGCCCTCACGTCCCACCTTCTTGATGGCCTCGCTGATCAGATTGCCCACGGACTTGTCGCCGTTGGCCGAAATGGTGGCCACTTGGGCAATCTCCTCAGGCGTATTGACTGGACGCGACATTTTCCTCAGGTTCTCCTTAACCGAGTCAATGGCAAGCATGACGCCACGTCGGATCTCGACGGGATTGGCACCGCGTGAGATCTTATCGAAGCCCTCCTTGGCAATGGCACGGGCCAGCACGGTGGCCGTGGTGGTGCCATCACCTGCCTCCTCATTTGTATTGTTGGCCACGTCCTGAACGAGCTTGGCACCAATGTTCATGAATTTGTCCTTGAGCGCAATCGATTTGGCCACCGTAACACCATCCTTGGTGATTTTAGGCGATCCCCAACTCTGTTCGATAATCACGTTGCGACCTTTGGGCCCCATGGTCACTGCCACAGCATCAGCCAACACATCGACGCCCTGCAACATCATGGCACGAACCTCTGGACCAAACTTTACATCTTTGGCATAGCCGCGGCACAGATCCCGGCCAACCATCTGATAAACCGTAGCAGAACCGCGATAGATTCTGGAGCATTTTGTAAGCAATCGGAACATAGTCGAGCACTGTAAAAATATGGAGCAACTGACCCACTCTCTCAATATATTATTCCAAATAATATAAACGAAACATACCTTAAATGTAGCCTGTAATATTTGTGAAAAATTGGAAAATTATATTCAGTAACTGTATGTCTCTGGGCGTAGTTGACGCTGTGGAAGCAGAACCTAAAATGAATTTTAAAGTAAAGTTCTAATAGTTATTTGCTCAACCTGTGCATAGCCTGCTCTGCTCAGTTGACATTAAAGCAAGAGTTGCTTTGAGTACCAATTCCAGGGATTCATTATCATAACTTCACTTCTGATAATCAAGTGATAAAAGCACAAGTAAAAGATTACTGTAAAAAAGTGTAAAATGCTGATGACAGGAGAGCGACAATGAAAAATGACATTGAATAAAGCGCAAAATGAGAGCGGAAAAATGAGCAACGTAAACAAGGAATTTCCAATATTCTCCTTCCATCGCTTTCTTTGTTCTTGCTTTTGATCCCGCTTGACAACTGTGTATGTGTGAGACAGCATATATTGAGTGCGTGTGATCACATTTTGCATTGGCGCGTGATGAGTGCGAGTAGGTTGGCTGCAGGACTGAGCATGTTGCAAGCACCGTTAGCGAGTGAGTGAATAGATTGTCGCTGCTGAGACCACGATATACATGCATACATATATTTGATAGTCATTTGCGCTCTCTCTTTTAATATGGCTTTATATGTTTGTGCAACATAAGCTGAAGTCATCAGGAAAGCTCTCAGTCGGGTATCCAGCATAGGACATTGTGATAATAGCTGGAATGGTGCAAAAGACGATTGAGCTTAACTGTTGTTGTCAAGCAATGCAAATGCGTACGTTCATATAACACTTACCAATGTGCGCTCCTGTTTTTAATATCGATTTGTGTGCTTTCCTACTTGTTTGATGGCGATATGTGGACAGCAGCTTTTAAAAGAGGATAATTCCCATATTTTCGAGATTTTTGCAGTTGCCTTTTATATCGCTTCATATAATTGTGAAACAGCGCAAGCAGTACCGTGTATACTACATTAAAGTCAAAAGGCTGTCGCACTCTCACTAATGCCGTCGTTGATTTTAAAGATAGTACTTGAGAATACTGCAATGCAAAATAATTTGTCTTTGATTTCCATTTATATTTTCGCAATGAAATGTGTGCCAGTATGTCTGCCAAAAAGTTGAACATAAAACAGAGCGCACTTACTCATTGAGTGGATACCATTATTGTTGAGAGCATAATATATAGCTCATATATTTACAGTATCCATTTGCAGTCTTTCTTCTGATCTCACTTCATATGTCTGTGCTGCAGAGTAAGGAGTGTGGAGGTAAGCCTGGTAGTCCCATCTCGCTCTCACTGATGGCAAGTCTCCAGCAATTGAGGAATTATGAAAAAATTCACATGCATAGTTGTGTATGTGTAAGAGTGTAATCGCTACAGTCATGGCATGCACATGTAGTTAATTAACTAAACTCGCCAATTTACGTTATCGAATTTTATATCGTTTTGTATGCTTAGATGACTATGTGTGCTAATACTGAACATTTAGCACAGATGTTTATCCATTGACTGAGCGGACTGAAGCGATTAACGTTCTTGATTGTTTGCAAACTGCTGAATGCTGCTAGCTAGCAGCTGAAAACATATGTCCATCACGCTTACACTAGTGGTGGAGGGTATTTGAGTAACATGTGATATAGCGAAATGAGCACAATAGTGTGCTGGCTACCTCTTTTTTTTTTTTTTTTTTTTTTGGAACTTTTTTTTTATTTCTTTATTTTGTTGCAGCTTATTGTCTTAGACTCTATAGCGCATTTAGCTCTAAACCTTAACTAATGGGAGGGCAGATATGCCAATTATTCTGCACTTGTAGCTACTATCTTAATTAGTTCTAATATTGTCTAGAGGATGCAATCTCTTCAGTCTTCGCCTATTGTTGTTTATAGCCAGGTTGCTTGCGAGATGGTTAGGATGCGCTGCAAGTCTGTCCGCGTATCTTGAACTGTGTCGCCCAATGAGTTCAGCAACTGTGGGAATTGCTAAATCCCTATGTAAGACTGAGTTTCTTACAAACCAGCTGGCTCCAGTCCATCTGCGTAGTGCTTTATTCTGCAGGGTCTGAATTTTGTTCCTTGTAGTCTTCGCCGAGGAGCCCCATAGAGAGATACCATATACGAAGGTTGGGACAACTATTGCCTTGTAGATGGCGGCCTTGCTGCTGTAAGACAACTTGCTTGAAGCTCTCAGCATCCAGTCGAGGGTTTTTAGCTTGCTTTTGCATTTTGAGGTTACTTGACTTATGTGCGCTTTAAAAGTCAGCCTTCTGTCAAGAGTGATACCAAGGTACTTTACTTTTGAGGCTTTGGGAATAGTGGGCCCCAATGCAACGCTTGGGCAATCTCCTCTTCTAGTGGCGAAGGTAGTATGTACAGACTTTTGTGCATTAATGGTGATACACCACCGTTTTGCCCAGCGTCCGAAAGAGTCCAGATATTTTTGTAGTGAGTCTGAAGCTTCTTGCGCAGATACGTGACGTGATAAGATGGCGGTGTCATCTGCATAGGTCGCTATGAGTACTGCATCTGTACTTCCTATATTTGGCTCGGGAGTTGGCATATCTCCTGTGAATAAAGTATAAAGTGTTGGGCCTAGAACACTACCCTGTGGTACTCCAGCCATAATTGGTCTAGTCAAGGATACTGTTTGCCCCCTTGACACTTGGAAGGTTCTTCCAATAAGGTATGAGGATAGCAACGCGAAAAATGGGGCTGGAAGGGTGGTCCTCACTTTCTGCAGCAGTCCCAGGTGCCAAACTCGATCAAACGCCTGTTTGATGTCTAAAAAGACGGCAGAGCAGTACATCTTTTCTTCAAAGGCTCCAAGGATATGGTGCACAACTCTGTGAACCTGTTCCGGTGTTCCATGCTGTCTCCTGAAGCCAAACTGATGGTTTGGAATGGCCTCCTGGCGTCCCAGATGTGTCAGTACTCGTTCCAGAAATATTCTTTCGAATATTTTGGAGAGTACTGGCAACAGGCTAATTGGTCTGTACGACTCAATTTCTCCCACGGGTTTGCCAGGCTTAGGAATCATCACAATCACGGCGCGCTTCCAGCAGGCTGGAAAGTGCCGGATGCGGAGCATGGCGTTGTACACCATAGTTATGTAGTCTACCTCTAGGCATTCACAGATTGAGCAGATTTAGCAGATGGGCACTTGCTGCTGAAATCGGTCGTCCAATCCGCACGCAAGTACTGAAATTATTAGTTGATGCATAATTTGAGAATATGTTGAATTGTTGTAAGCGTGTAAGCGTCTGCTATCTAATAATTAAAAGCGAATGCTCGAATTCACTGCTCGTGCCTTATGGCAACAAATTTTACTGAACAGCTGCCTGACACTTTGCAGGTAATTAAAAGACAAATATTGGTGAAGGGGTTTCGAGCTAGTGGCAAGGAATGTGGGTGTGCCGTTGGCGCTGGCACGGGTTCGACTGTTAACGCCCACGCTGAGCCCATTTTGCAATTTAAATTTTCATGAACAAGCGCCGCCATTTGTCGCTGTCGTCTTCGTTGTCGTCGTTGTCGCTGTAGCTGTCCTTGGCACTGCCTTTGCCCCGCGCTGCCCCCTGCCCGTGGCGCATCCTTAACAGTTTTCAATTTGCCTGGCCGCTTGTAAGCGCAGCTGACAGCGCGACTAGAACAAAAACAAAAGAAAAAACATTTGAAGCAGCGCGATATCAAGTAATGCCATGGGGTTTACGCCGGGGGCTACGCGATTCGCCTTTCATTGTATTATGGCCGCTTGTCGGCGCGCACATTTTTACGACCATTTAAATGGTTTTCGCTTTTCGGTTACGAATTTGTCACGCAGCCGCCGTCACCTGACGACAGGGCAATTGAAAGCAGGTGGGTTAAAAGTGGCTTAGATAGGAACAGCCACGACTCTTCTACAGGCAATCGTAGCTACCCTAGCAGCCAAGCAGACGTAAGTACACTGCATTACAGATTGAATCCGGGTACTATTTATGCAGCTGAGTATTTGAACGGAATGTCGCTTCAGCTGCTTAGCTTAAGTTGTCCGAGAGACATGCAAGAGTATGATAATTCCTTAAAAGCGCTGATCACTTCTTCTTCTTCTTCTTCTGCCTGAATAGCTCTATGAATGTGCATGTTCCGAACGAAATTGGCGAGAAAGCGAGGAAATAGAAAATTGGAGTATAAATCAACGCTTTGTTTATTCAAAATGAAGGGTAAGGTAATACGTTTACAATAATATGCCTTGATATAGTTGATAAAGCAAACAAAGGCTCGTTTAACCGCTTTATATACTTTATATAATTTAATATTGTTGAGCAATTCTTACTTCAATCTGTCTTTCTTCTCTATCCGCTGCTTGCAATTTCCTGATTTTTCTATTCTCATTGCTTTCTTTGATGAGTAAAGCAATCTTCTGCTCCGCATTATCTGTCTGCCTGTATTTTGTTTATTTTTCTATTGTTATTTTCCACTCTTTTTCTCCACTTTTCCGGCCTTATAATTTTTGTTCATTTATTCTGTTTTCTCTTCATTGCCAAGCATATTAAACGCCTTTCTATGCGATGCTCAAAGGAAGAACTGACATTTTAGATATAGTTTAAGGTTGTTTAGTCTGTAAATCTTGCATTAACTATATGTAAACTTTAGGAAACTTTATATTAACTCAAATGTATTCTAAGTTATTCCAAGGTTAGTTATGCAGACCTTAGTTAGAAAACCTTAACACATTAAAGGAAAAGTGTGTACCCGAGCATATGTATATTCCAGATTTCAAGACTAGATATGAACTATATGATATGACTAGAAATGGTCTAAGTTCAGACGGACTAATGGACAGACGAATGCTCTGCAAGATATGACACAAAACTCATTACCTCTTTTCTCTCAGTATTAATTGTTGTCTTAAAGTTTAGAAATCATAAAATTATTACATTTTCAAATTATTTTAATACTTATTATATTAAAGTAAAAAAAGCTAAGCTTCCACTAATTGAAGTTAACATATAAAATGCTTAACTAAGACGTCTTTATGAATTGTAGCTTAACTCCAAGTCCCAACTTCGACCCGCCTCTATCAATTTCAGGCACACCCACACAGCAAGAGAGAGAGAGAGAGAGAACTAGTC